GGTGCGACTGTAGTCTTTGGAACAAACTTGAGGGACTGTAAAACGCAATTTATGGTACGCGACTTAAACACGCAATTTACACGTGAATTTGTACGTGGTGTGGCACGAGTGTGGAAAGTGTGGCAACAACCTTCGAACGCAAACAGGAATGAATCCAGTAATACAATATTACTAGTCTGAGGTCTTATAGAGTGCTCGATTGACCGACTAAGACGAGAGTTGAAACGTATTTCGTTGTGTGTGTCTTATTTGACTGTAAAGCTTAAGTGACTTCCCCGATCCCGCACCTCAAGGGGACAAGACATAGAGACGAGACGAGATTCCCCCCTGACAAGTGTGGAGAACCCCAGAGGAGAAGAATTTCCCCCTGATAGTAAATCGAGACAGGTTTCGTTCAACTACAAACGAGACAGGTCGATACAATTTAAACGAACCCTGACATCTGGAAATACCTCATTCATAAAAAGGACCTGATTTATTGTGCTACACCCTTTTGATAAAAAGTTAAGAAAAATATATTTTGTGAAAAGAAAAGAAATTTGCAAAATGATATCATTTCTGATATGTCAGCTATGGAAAACAGGAATGAATCTAATAATCTTATTAACAATAAAATAACAGAAAAAGAGATAAAAAATGCTATTGAAACACTTAAAAATAAAAAGGCACCTGGTTATGATAGCTTCTGCTCTGAGTTTTTAAAATGCAGCTCAGATTTCTTAATAAAACCATTAAAAAAACTTTTTTAATTATTTTTAGAGTCTGGAATTTATCCAAAGTCGTGGAATATTAGTATTATTTCACACGTCTATAAAAAGGGTGATTCGCACGACCCAGGAAACTACCGGGGGAATAGATGTATCAAGTCGTGTGGGAAAAACATTCTGTACTATAATAAATAATAGAATTACCCAATACCTTGAAATAAATAACATCATTAACAATAATCAAGCAGGGTTCCGTAAAGGTCACCGCACAACAGACCACATTTTTGTACTGAATACAATTGTTAAAAATATCTCCAGCTAAATGGAAAATTATATGCATGCTTTATAGACTTCCAAAAAGCATTCGATAGTGTCTGGCGTGACGGCTTGTTTTACAAATTAATCAAAAATGAAATAAATGGCAATATCTATAATATTATTAAAAATATGTAGCGTAATACGAAAGCATGCATTCGTTTAGAAAACACAATCACAAATATATTTGAGACAACAAAAGGTGTGAGACAACAGTGGCGGATCCAGATGGATTACGCATGCTGGATCCGCCACTGTGAGACAAGACTGTGTTATAAGCCCCACATTATTTAATTTATATGTGAATGATATGAATGAATACTTGGAAGACAGATCCCTTGATCAGGTCACACTACATGACACTAATTAGCTCGCTACTTTACGACGATGATCTGGTGCTAATTTCAATAACAGAAAAAGGCCTACAAAATGCATTAAATAAACTGCAAGATTATTGCCAAAAATGGAAAATCAAAGTAAATCTTGCGAAAACTAAAACTCTTATATTCAGAAGGGGAACACTACATAGACATGAAAAATTCTATTATCAAAATGAGAAACTTTGCTGTGTCAACTCATACAATTATCTTAGGATAATTTTTCAGTCAAATGGTAAATTTACAGAAGCTAGAGACAATCTAGCAGATAAAACAATCAAAGCCATGTATGCACTAAAGCAGTCTTTACCAAAAGAAACAGACTGTAAAACATACATCCATCTGTTTAATATAAGTATCAAACCAATCTTACTGTATGGATCTGAAATTTGGGGAATGGAAAATATGAGTAACAATAACTGGGACAAAACTAAAACAGAAAAGTGCATCTAAAATTCATTAAACAACTACCTGGGCTTAATAAATACACAGCGAATAGTGCATGTCGAGGTGAAATTGGAGCATTTCCATTGATAACTGAAGTGAAAATTAATATAATTAAGTTCTGGTCCCATGTCACAGACAAGTCACAAAATAATTATACAAATATGTCGTTAAGCGATCAGACTTTGTCAAAAGCACATTGCGAAACATCAGTCAAAAATATCTTGAAAGATCTACATCTACACCGCTACACCTCTTTAAAACATCACAGGTATCACATCAAAATATTAAGGCAATGAGCAGCACTATTAAACAACAATACATAACATACTGGAGAGAGAATATGACAAATAAAAAAAACTGAGAACATACATTAAATTTAAAATGAATTACAATCTGGAAAATTACCTTAATGTTTTGGATAGTAATCAAAGAATATCATTGGCTAGATTCAGGACAAGTAGTCCCAATCTAGCCATTGAAAAAGGCAGACATACCAATCCAAAAACCTCATTAGAAAATAGAATTTGTAAAAAATGCCCATTACAGGAAGTTTGTCCACGATATCAAACAGATACAAATTATTTTATTTCCAAATTTTATTCTTCAAAGAAATCATTACCAACCTGCAAAAATTCACATATTTAATGAAAAGTAATTACAGGATTGTTTACATAAATCATTCATTTTAAGAAATGAGATCTCTTTGACTCTTTTTTTTTCTATTTTTTACGTTTTCTGTAATTTCCAGCGTATTAAGTTTTTAATTAACCGAGAATTTTATGTTTGTGTAAATTGACACTCAAAGTTAGTTATCGATGAGAACACATGAATGGTGTTTATCCATTGCATCGCCATGCTATCAGCAGTGTCATCGTTACAGCCAAACGAAAAATGTTCACTGCAGTGTTAAAATGCCTTTGGAGAACAAAAAAAAGCGTGAAAATAAATTATTTAACAGTATACAGTATACAAGTACCACTGGAATCTGCAAGGCTAGAAGTCGGCATGTTGCGAGATAAGGGAGGAAAAGTTTACCTATAATTTACAACTGTCGGCTGAACTGTATTTTGTTTTATTCCGCTTGCATGCCTGAAGCGTCTACGTCTTTGCGAGGCTAGTTGATAGCGAGGCTAGTTGATAGCGCCTGAGGTAAATAAACTGGGTCCAGTCACACATCGCCACACCATAACTGAGGCGCCACCAACTCATTTGCATATAACAAACTTTCGGGACTTTTAATCACATACACATGCCTCGGTTCCCTATAATTTAATTTACAATGCTCCAAAATGTTAACATTATCTAGCCAAGACTGTCTGGGTAAGATAAAGCAAAAAAAAAAATCACTCCGAGTGCCCACCTACCTGCATCTATACCTTAAAAGCCCAATTCACTTGTCCTTTACAGCAATTCTTAGTTTATTTTAATCCTACGCCATGGCAGTTATTGGGAGAAATACTATCTATCAAACTGACCAATAATGTAATGGCTTGTAATTTCTGAAAGTGTGCTTCTTAGCCACAGGGATCAGTGTTAAAGTGAGGTGAATACAATAGTGAAACATGTTATAATGTGTATAACTTTTGACTAACATAACAATACATAATCAAGTAAACGGAATATAATAGACAGTAATTTCTGTGTAGAATTGTATAGAAGAGATTCGGGTGGATAGAGATAACGGAGGCGAGATAACAGTGGCTTGAGCAAGTAACGAGGTTTATTACACTAACATAAAACAGCATCTGACAAGTACAAGGACAAATTCTCAATTTATAGGGGAATGGTGCATTCTTGAATTTAGGCGGGAAGAGGATATATTACATGTTTGTAATAGGTCAATAAGGAAGGGATCTGATTGGCTAAATTATATGCGTTGTGATAGGCTGAATCTTTTGTATGCAGAATCCAAAAGTTGCATTAAGCTCGAGTGCTTATAATGATTCCCGATAATTTCCTAGCATCTATAAAGTAATAACGAATCAAAACAAGTTAAAGCATTTAAACGATACAAACTAACACAAACTAAAACTGTGATATACTAGTATGAACCACAAATATTCGATATCACGTGTCCCCTGATCCCTTTGACCCCTAAACCATGTTGATGTTCGCATCGCATATTAGTACACTACGCGAGATGATATTCATTCTGTCAGAGATGGGTAGATTTTGCAAATAAAATAACACACATTTCATAAAAAAAGAAACCCAGCTCAAACTTAAAGAACAAAGTAATTTACAAACTTTCTGCTGGTAAAACCGATATTTTCTTTATAAGGATACCTTCTTTCACGGTGACTCGTAAAGCCAAATGGGCGAGTCCAGACGTTGTGTCCAAAACTATTTTGTTGCCGACGATCATTTCAACATTATTTGGTATTTATTTCTCGCAACGTCATATCAACAATTTGTTACTTTGACCAATTTATATTTACTACAAGATCTGTCTTTCAATTCAAATGTTCAGTTATTTCGATTGACTTCCATGTCTTATTGAGCTAGACGTCATAGGTATGTGTGATAAGGAGGGGTAAAAATGTAATATATTTCCGACAGTCAACTTCACCTGTAGCATACTGTATATAATGACAAATCTGTCAAAAGTGACAATTACAACATTATTGTAATCACATACAACTAGCTATCTTTATCACAGTTCCTGTGAGTCCGTGGATTTCAAGTTACGTACGTATGCAAACAAAAACTCTTCTTATATTTGTTAGAACTTTTCTTTTGCAGAGATTCAAAGCTAGATGTAACCATGGAGGTAACTATCTATCTTGTCTATTGCAGATTTGACTTTGACTGTTTTGATTCAAATGGTCAAAATTAGTTGTTGAATTTCAACAATTACAGGACCCCAAAGTTTTTAGACCATGCAATATAAAACATGACATAGAAACATGCACGTAAGTACTGGACAAGTAAGCTCCGCTGTCATCAGATTTAATTACTTTATTGTTTATTTTTAAATAACGTTTTTTTTTAATCATTTGAGTTTGTCTTTCTTGCAATATGTTTCGCATGCACACGACATCGTACATTTCTTGCAATAAATTGAGTTCCACTCGTACCTTGTTTCAACTGTTGACCTTAGGACAAGCTAAGTGTTCGCTGTGGAGGAACGAAAGTGCAGACACACACTCTCAAGATGGCGTCGAATCCAAATCTGAAAGCCAATGGTTCGAGTTGTCGGCCCCAGACTACAGGAAAAAGTGGCAATGTGCGCCAGAAAGGTATATTTGTAGTAGAAGTGAAATGCACTCGCTATAACAATACCCTGTGTACTAGTGCCACTACAAGCCTTCCCAGTACAGTATTTGTAAGCTCGTACCAGTGATGCTACCGTAGTACGATGTTTTCCACTCTCGACTTCAGCAAACTGAACCAAAACACAGATTGCTTCCTGAGAATTCTCTTCTGATTAAATGAACAGTCGATTATGTGTTCGAAAACGGATTTTGGCGCCTGGTGACCCAGAATTCTTCATTTTATACTTATAGCGTGCCTCGTGTTCCGAATGTAAATAAACATAATCAACCACATCCCTGATTGACACAAATTACTGAAAGTAAAACATAATTCTTGTAGTGGAGATTCTGGACGATAACAATCATTTTTTTCACAGACATGTATCCACTTGCCGAATTGAATTAAAATGGACACCAACAAACACTGGCAGGATGTCTGGAGATATAGTTCCGCCATTCATTTTGAAAAAAAAACAAATGAATATACAGTAGACAAAAAAACATGTTGCAAGTGTATTATAAGAACCCCAAACTTAGCCACTTGTAATTTAATCTTTTGCAGTTCCTGGGACCCCTCAACAAATCTTAACTGACTATCAGCAGCAGCAGCAACAACAACAGCAGCAGCAACAGCCTCAACAACAACAACAACAACAGCAACAACAACAACAACAACAGTCTTCTAGTCAAGTTATGCAACTAATGATGGTACTTCAGCAGCAGTTCAATTCACAGTTACATGACTTAATAGAAAAGCAAAAACGAGAAGCTATCACTGCAAACTCTCAACCTTCTGCGACTGTTGCTGCACACTCACAATCTGCTGTTGTTGCTGCATATTCACAACCAACAAACCCTTTTAGCTCACCTCCAACAAATCCTGTTATATCAATGCAGACACATTCTGATAATATTAGACATATGTTGAGGGTAGTTGAAGGTTCTCTGCAGTCTGCAAGTGGTGATTCTACAAAATATGCTCATTTGAAAGACATTCAGGCAAAATTATCACAAGACATTCTACTGTGTAAGCGAGATGAACTGCTGAGTGTTTCTCCCCCACCACCACCACCTCCACCAGGTCGTCCATCTAATCCATTACCTGATATGGTTTACTACAATCATTTAATAACTAAATATCCGACATATCAAGCTGCATCTCTACAATCTATTGTAAACCAATCACAGAAGAGTCCACAACAATCAGAGTTTGTAGAGGGCATTGTGGATTATACTGGTACTCAATCAGATCCTATGAAACTGACATCTGATAATAATAGTAAAAGAATCCACCAAGAGGTAAGAATTTGAGTGTTGATTTATTTTGTTTACTTATTTTGCTGCACTATAGAGGTGCGTTTAAACTCCAAAAGAATTTTTGTAGTTGTCCAGGTAAGCACCCAAGTTTCTGAACATGGAAAAATGCAAGAAAATAGGGGTGGGCGTATGCCCGGACATCCTCGGCAAAAAACAAAAATATGCAAAAATGGACAACATGCAGATCAAACTGCGGTAGGGAATAGAATGACAAATGAAAACATGCAACGGAAATAAATGAACAATATGCAACATTAGAAGTATAACAAAAATAATTTATTGCTTATAATGTGACAAATAAACCAGAAATAATAAAAATCGACAGTAAGGAATTATTTGAATTAGGATTTCCCCGTCACAAACACGCCCAATATGCGTGAACTCAAAATGAACTAAAATGTCAGGGGTGAAACTGTGTAAAATTGTTTCCGTTTTTCTGGATCAACAGTCATACATGAACAATAATCATTTACGAATTTACATAGTAAAAATTACAAAAGTTATTATAGTTGATTGAAAAAACTTTTCAGATCTCCATTTGCATGTTCATTGTTGCGGTACTTCGTCAAAGTCAAAACCCTCAAAGTCCAAGTCGGCGTCCAACAAAATCCCTGCGGCGGAACCAGAAACCAGAAGTCCAAGATGTCGTCCCACACAGTTTGGACTTAAGATATAAAGGTATAAATTTATTTTCACCAGAAGATAATAATAATTTACAAGTTTTTTACCTAGTGTGGAACCCAGATATAGTTTGCTTAAAACTAGTTGAGTCTGCGCCCCAATTCTAATAAGATGAATCCATTAAAAGCATTTATTAGAGAGTTATGAGCTTAATAATTACAATTGTTTGAAAAATATAAAAGTAATAAACAGCATATTAGTTGTAATAATGATATTTTTAACAACAATAATTTTTGCAATAAATTGTAAATAATTTTAAGATGAATATCATTAACATTACTAAAATACTTGTATAACTCGGACTGCTAATTGGTTGAAATGTATTGTTTTAATTCTGTTTTGAAATTACATCTATTTTCATTGTTTTGATATTATTTGGTAATGAATTCCAATGAGTAGCTGCTGCATATTTTAAATTATGTTTATTGAAAGAAAGATTGGCTTGGGGCAAGTAGAAGTATTTATTAGATGCGTGCCGTGTTGAATAGTTGTGTGATAATGGAGTAAAATAATGGTTGATGTTCTGAGCGAAACGGTTTTGATTTAAGTAAAAAATAAATAGACAATTCTGATATTTGTGAAGCTTGAATATATCAATGTCTAGGAGTATATTTTTCTTGTCAAATTAATTGATTAATTGTTTATTAATTATAATTTCAAAGATTTTGCTGAAAATTGGAAGAACTGAAATATGACTTGGCACTTTTAATCCATGAATTTCGCTGTCTGTCAGCTTTGCATATCACAATAAAGAGACAAGAAAAATGGGGTAGCATGCAAAGGACTCTCTATCATCTTTGACCTTCAAGCATCTGCTTTACTGATTGGCTATGAATAACATTACTAGTGTTTCATCATAGAGGTCAAGTCATCGGCGTGATATTGCAAATTTGCTGGCCCCAGTTATGAATTCGCAAGCTGCTACCAAATATTTTATAAAGCCAAAACAACATGCTTTCAACCACTTCCTGGTATGGGTTGTTAAATATTGCAACATTGGTTTTATTGTCAATGACGCTGAAGCCCAGACATGACCTAAATTTCTTTAATGTATCAAAATTTGGGGGGTGGGCGTTTGGGCGCTTACCCGGACAATTACGGTAATAGGATGTTATGAGAATACTGCAAAGAATGAAGAAAAGCAATCAGAAGTTGATGTGCCTTGTGGCAATATTATGCATCATTTTTTGTTTCTCTTGGTAGTCTTGATTTACTGTGATATAAAAATCTGAAATGCCAGCCAAAATCATATCATGCAATTTGTGTTAGTGACAGGATTTTCTTTCTAATAATAATAAAAATTTTTATTGCATCCTTGAAATTAATTTTTTATCAGTTAAAAGCAATACATAAAAAAAATGAAAAATGCACAAAAGAAAAAAAAAAGAAATGATAAAAGTAAGAATTATCTTTTAATTGGATGTTCTGTTCTAATGTCAAATATGGCATATACATATTCACCCACTTGCTTTATAATTTCAACATCATTGCAACTCATCAGGTATATCAATTTCTGATTAATGTTGTGGGCTGTGTTTGGAATTATTACATCTCTCGATAGTTTTTGCCTGTTATTGTAATATTTTGGACATTCCATGAAAAAATGTACCTCATTTTTTATTTTGTTCTCTGATCAATGTATACATAATCTATTTCCTAGGGGTGTCTTTGGTTGAGTATGTCTGCCTTTCTCTATTGCTAATGGATGCTTGCTAATTCTAAATCTGGATATGCAATGTCTTTGTTTTAAATTAAGAGTGTCTAAATATTTTTCATAGCTGTATGTTTGTTTTAGTTTTGCGTATGTTCTGAGTTTGCCATTTTGGTTGCTTATGGTTACTTTCCACCAATCCATAAATTTTTCTTTGATGTTGTTGATAATAAGTTTAATATCCCTGGGTGATAAGTCTGACAGATTATTCATCGATATAATATCTTTTATTTATCAATTTTTAAACAGACTTCATCCATGGCAAGTTTAACTTCTTCTGTTCATGAAAGGCATGTTTTGTGAGAATGTGTTCTGGAAGCTCTTCGATACAAGACCATTATTTTATATGATTTCCCTTAATATCAATCAACAGTGGGAATTCACCAAGTTCAGTTCTATTTGCTCCATTTGAAGAGAGCTTACTTACCTCCAATAACTGTTTGCAAAATTTTATATGTACTTGTTCAATACTTGTTTTGTCCCATTTTGAGTTTTCCAAAATGTCACCACCCAAACGTTACAACCATATAACAGTATTGGCCCTACACATGCTTGAAATAAGTGTAGATATGTTCTACAGTTAGCCTCTTTTGGTAATGATTTCACATACATAGCTCTAGTAGCTTTATCTGGTATTTTCTGGTTTCATTAAATTCACCATTAGATTGAATAAAGATACCAAGATAGATGTAAGTATTAACACAACTTATGTTGTGACTTTGGTAATAAAATGCATCTCTGCTCTTCATTGATCCTTTTCTGAAAATTATTACTTTTGTTTTTGTGAGATTAACATGGAGATTCCATTTATAGCAGTAGTCATTAAACATTCTGCAACAGTCATTCTGCAATCCTGTATTTGTTTTTGAAATTAATACCAAATCATCTGCATAGAATAATGAGCTAATCTTATTAGTCCCTGTTGAACGCAGTCCGAAAACAGGGACTTATGTTTTTACCTCTGTGTGTCTGTGTCTGTGCGTGCGTGCGTGTGCTTCCGTGCGTGCATCCGAACCTGTATCTTAGAAATGCCTGGACCAATCACAATCAAACTTCACACATACATCATACATGATATTATACATATGCACATCAATTTGTTTCACGATCTGATTCAGAATGACCATGGCGGCCATTTTTGTGCTAAAAATCATCAAAATAAAGCATTTTTCGGCTGTTTACAGATGGATTTTGTTCAAAATTGGTATATACATTAGACATTATAGGACCTTGATGAACATCATTTTGTTTTTCAGATAAGATTCAAAATGCCAACTGGCGGCTATTTTGTTTTAATAAATGTGGTTCTAGTGCCATATCTCTGACTTGCTTTGACTGATTATGTTCAGATTTTAAATATTCATTATGGATCATGTCATTGATAGACAGATATATTAGTTTGACGATTCTATTAAAAATGGCCCAATGGTGGGCATTTTTGTGCTAAAAAACCATCAAAATCAAGCATTTCCCTGCTGTTTACAGATGGATTTTGTTCAAACATTGTATATACGTTAGACATTATAGGACCTTGATGCACATCATTTTGTTTTACGATCTGATTCAAGATGGCCGAATGGCGGCCATTTTTGTTCTAAAAAATAATAAAAATCAAGCATTTCTCAGCTGTTTACAGATGGATTTTGTTCAAACTTGGTATATAAATTGGACATTAGGGGACCTTGTTTTTCAGATTAGATTCAAAATGGCCGACTGGCGGCCATTTTGTTTTAATTAATGTGGTTCAAATTTTAATTATGTTCAAATTTTAAATATTCATTATACATCATGTCATAGATAGACAGATGTATTGGTTTGACGATCCTATTCAAAGTGACCAAATGGTGGCCATTTTTGTGCTAAAAAATCATCAAATATCAAGCGTTTCTGGCATTTATGGATGGATTTTGTTCAAACTTGATAAGACATTACAGACATTACAGGTTTTTGATGCACATTTATTTTTCAGATTGGATTCAAAATGGCTGACTGGTGGCCATTTTGTTTTAATGATTGGGCTTCTAGAGCCATATCTCTTAAATGCTTTGACTGATTATATTCAAATTTTATATATTCATTATACATCATGTTATTTGTATATATACATGTACTCAAAATGGCTGATTTTAAATGCTGTTCCAGAGCAATATCTCTCAATATGGACAAGTACTTGTTTGACGATCAGATACAAATGTCAATCATTTTAATGTTAAAAAATCATATTCCTGACATGGTTATATTCCAGCTATATTACTGTAAACAAAACTATATATCTTAAATTTGATAACTAACAGGACTGTGCTATGCATGGCTTGTTATTATTTAATGTAACCTGGTCTACTGAAGTATCATCTTCTAATGTACTATTTAAATCATTTACATACAGATTAAAAAGTATTGGACTCAGTGTTTTCCACGGGTTAAAAATTAGCCTGGCGAGCAAGGGAGAGTCTGGGGGACCTCCCCCGAAAAAAGTTTTGAAATTTAGATGCCTTTAGATGCAATCTGGGAAGTTTCCCCGGCGTAAATCTTGGCAACCTCAAGGCAATTTTTCATCGTAAAATGCACCGGCAATGCAAAAAATTGATAA